CTGGTGGCCTAAGATGGACGCGGCCATTGAAGAGTGGGTACAAGTTTGCAACCAGTGTCAGCAAAGCAGGCCAGACCCCCCAACAGCCCCTCCACAGAAATGGGAATCCACGGGTAAGCCATGGTCAAGGCTTCACATAGATTTTGCTGGCCCAGTACAAGGGCAAATGTTCCTTATAATTGTGGATGCATGGTCCAAATGGCTTGAGGTGGTGCACATGCGCTCAACCACGTCTATCGCTGTTGTACAGGCGTTGCGCCGGTTGTTCGCAACCCATGGGTTGCCGGACACACTGGTCAGCGACAATGGCCCTCAGTTTGTGTCCGAGGAGTTTAGACAATTCCTCACAAACAATGGTATCCGGCAAATGACCGCAGCTCCCTTTCACCCAGCTTCCAACGGGCAGGCCGAACGCTGTTGTACAGGCGTTGCGCCGGTTGTTCGCAACCCATGGGTTGCCGGACACACTGGTCAGCGACAATGGCCCTCAGTTTGTGTCCGAGGAGTTTAGACAATTCCTCACAAACAATGGTATCCGGCAAATGACCGCAGCTCCCTTTCACCCAGCTTCCAACGGGCAGGCCGAACGGATGGTTCGAACAGCCAAGGAAGCCCTAGGAAGATTGACCGAGGGGGATTGGAGCGTCCGTTTAGGGTCTTTTCTGTTGCGCCAGCACACAACCCCCTGCAGCGCGACGGGCCGAAGTCCGGCCGAAATGTTAATGGGCCGCCGCCTCACCACTCGCTTGAACCGGTTGCATCCGGACTTAAGCGAAGACCGGCCCGGGCGTTCATACACGCAAGCAAATGTGCGCATGTTTCAGGCGGGGGACAAAGTGTTCGCCCGAAATTACGCTGCAGGGCATGACTGGGTTCCCGGGTAAATATGTGAGTGCATAGGCTCTAGGATGTATTCGGTACTGTTGAATGACGGCAGAAGGTGGCGGCGACACGTGGACCAATTAAAAAAGCGTTGGTCCAAGGACAGCGCTGACTCTCCGGCTGGGTCCTCTGAATTACTTCCCAAACCTCCCGCAATGGAGGAAAATACGGAGTTAGCTGGTCCTGCTAGGCAATCCACTGAGGCTGACACAACAGACCCGGCCGTACAAGCGCCTGACTCAGGGTCCGTGGAGCCCCAGTTAGAAGCTCCGCCAAATGGACCTGTCACGCTGAGAAGGTCACAGCGTGCGCACAGACCTCCAGCATACTTAGCTGACTATGAGTGCGGCAACCTGTTTGAAACTGCCTGTAAATACAATTGTGCATGTATATACCATTGTGAATGTATTGCCTTAACTTAGGGGGGAGGAATTGTTATGTATTAACAGCATAACATGAATCGCTCAATATACTTCCCATGTTGAGCTTCGAGCCGGCCAAGGCTCCGTCAGTACGAACATTCTATTGGTCGCTTCAAAACAGCGACCAATCAAAGAAGAGCTATTCCCTGAGCGGGAAGGACACTGATTCACCCTTATCTATGCAATCTGATTGGTTGTTATGTAAATAGTAGGCGTGGCTATATTAGCCCGGTATGTTTAAAAGGAGCCCAGCTCCAATGTTAAGTTGTTCTGATTCCTGAATGCGTTTGTGTGCTTGTTCGAATAAAGCTGAATCACTTGCTGAAATCACTCTACGGGTCTTTGTTAGTGCGATCTAACAGAAATGGTCTACATTTATTTGGTATTGGAATAATACAGTCCAAGATAAGATTGTACTTTATGTGAATCAAGGTGAAATATAAATGTTAAGATTAAACAGATTCAAGTTTGTTCTGGTATCAGCACTGTATTATCGATATGACACTTGATTGAATGGAATCACTAATGGTTGTAAAAATGCCACTGTAATATTATATTGTTCTTTCATGTAATTATATTTTTAAAAAACTGACAACAGGCTTTCCTTTTGAATAGTCTCTCCCTCCCTCTCCCCATAAGCTCAGCCAGCCATCAACTTTGTTCAACAACAGTATGTTCACCTTTTTGGTAACTGAGACCAAAGTAGCTCCACAAAGCCATGACTCAAACTAAAGATTGTTTTGATCTTTCAAAAACACATTTGGCATATATCCCAGACAAATGTAAACACTTTGAAGTTTTGTAATATACACGGAAATTATTTAAGTAGGTTTGATTTGACTTTCCCATTAATATCAACAGTACTACAATGTGCTAAACTATCGTTGGGTAAGATCCTATAATTTCCTTTTTCTTTAAAACTGTAATGTATAGTGACATTTCCAAACTCCCTTAGAACAGTAAGTATTAGAAAAACCATTTATTGAACTAAAAGATTTTCATGGTGTTAGAAAACATGCTTTCCTGATTCAACTTCTTTCTCCAACATACTGCCTTCACTACTCAGATCTGACTATTTTCTCTCTTCCGTGCAGGTGAAGTTTCTTAGAGACATACAAGATGCCATCTGTTCTCCATTTTATATTCCAGAATTATACCAGCTTCTAGTACTGAAGATGTACAGCTGCTCAAAGAGTGTAAAATAGTTGTCTATTTGTAAAATAGTCATATCTGAGGCCTACAACTTATCCAAGTATCAGCTGTCTCACCGAAAGTGATGTGTTTGGGTCAACATTCAGCTATGAGATAGTCTAGGTCTTACTGGGAAATATTTTCTACCTTATGCAGCTGATGGAGCTTAACTTGGAAAAGTATTTTCTAAACAAAAAAAAAACAACTCAACCTGGTTTCTCTGCTTGGGGATAAATTCCTATTAAATAGGACAGAGTTGTTTTCATGGGAACTATGTTATCTGTACATATGCTGTACTTTTGAATATGTTGTACATTTACATTTTATACTTTCCCAAAAGTATTCAAATATTTCTCTATGATTTAATATTTCCATGGCCAAAACAATGATATAAAGATGCTGTAACAGAACATTCAAAATACTGCTATTTTCTTTCTGGAACAATTCATTAAATTAAGACATTAAATTAAGATACGGTGACATATGTTTAAAGCAGGTGGTTTCATATTTTCTCTCATTAGCACACTGTGTGTTAATGAGTAAAAAGCCTAGCAAATTAAACTACACATCAGCAGTTGGGATTTCAGAAGAATATTGCTGGGGCTGGATGAGCAGTTTAAAAAGTCAACGTAATGCTACAGCATGCTCTGAAAAAGCTACAGGACACGACCTTATGTACCACAGATATTCCAATGGAAGCAATCAGATCAAAATCATTTTCAGGAGGCTTTCAAAAGATGCAGCTATTGAATATATTTTATTATCAGTAACAAGTTACAAATGAATGGCAGTGAAGAACACAACGGAAAATGACAAAAAAAAATGTTCCTACCTCTCTTTCAAAATCAGACTGAAGAAGCTTAACAAAGTTATCTGGAAAGACTCCTCGTTTGCCACAGAGCTCTCCTTCCCACCAGCCAGCATCAATGCAATCCTGTGGCACATCAAGAAAACCGATGAGATTATGATCAGTACATACATATATGTTCAAAAGTAATGTATTTTAGAACAAGTAAAACACAAGCATGTAAAACAAACTTCATTATGTAGCTGCTATTGTTATAGTGGCATCAGTGATGCACTGATACCTAAAATTTATATAGGAAGCTAGGAGGAGGAGGAGAAGGAGATTGGATTTATACACCGCCCTTCACTCAGAGTCACAGAGTGGCTTACGAACTCCTTTCCCTTCCCCGCCCCACAACAGACACCCTCTGTAAGGTAGGTGGGGCTGAGAGAGCTCTGACAGAAACTGCTCTTTTCAAGAACACCTCTGACAGAACTATGGCTTGCCCAAGGTCATCCAGCAGCTGCGAGTGGAGGAGTGGGGAATCAAACCTGGTTCTCCCAGATTAGAGTCCACACACTTAACCACTACACCAAACTGGCCTGTTAACAACCTATGTTTGCTCCTCAATCCGGCCTTTCAATTATGTTTACCTTGTAAACTGGCTCCTTATTTACACCCTGTTCATCTGGTGACACTGGTACATTAGCCCTTTACAGACTAATGTTGTCAGATTTCTCAAAATGTATATCCCAATGTATTCCCCTGCAAATTTATAATCTTCAAACAGACCCCTCCTTAAGGTGCCCTTCTCCTAGAACTGTCTGTAGTGCTACAGCATGATCACAAGCAGGGCCGGCTCTTCCACTAGGCCAACTAGGGCTACAGCCTAGGGCGCAGAGCTCCCAGGAGCACAGCGAGGCCCCTGCCGCTGCCTGCCCGCCCCCAGCATGGCTTTCTGGGCACCCGCTCCACAGTGCGCCCCTTCCCGCCAGCTGGCTTCGCCTTGCGCCCCTGGAGGGAGGGACGCGCGCCCGAGGGGGGGAGACAGACAGACAGCAAAGCCGTTGCTGCTCGAGCTGGCAGGGCGCTCTTAACCCTGTGGCATCCGGCCGGAGTGCGGCTGTCTCCCCACCAGCCAGAAGACCCTCCCGCTGCCACCACCGCTTCTCTCCCCCTTCAGCAAGGGGCCTTCCCAGACCTCCCAGGGAGTCCACTGCTCCGCACTGCAGAAAAGAGGGCAAAGCAGCCATGTCTCGCTGGCCCGGGGCAGGCCTCTCGATCCAGGGCAGCGCCGGCAGTCAGGAGGGGAGGTGGGCTGGCCACGTGGCTCCGACTGGGGGCCAGCTGGGTTGCCGGGGGGGGGAGATGCAGATCAATTTATTGGGCAGAGGGGGAGGACACCGACGACGCGTTCTGGAAACTTTGTTGCGCTCTGTCTCTCGAGCGGCTGGTGCGGCAGAATGTTGAGGAGGAGATGAGGAGGGACATCTGGAGCAGCCCTAGGAAGGCCGGCCCTCCATCCCAGGCCTCCCCCCGGTGCACCTGAGCTGGGCCCCAAAGGCGCAGCCCCCCCAGTTTCCAGGCAATCCCACGAAGGAGGCCAACAACAGGGGCCTTGCAACCGGCGAACTGCCTGCCTGCCTGAGGAACCCACCGGGGAGCGTGCCCAGGCCGGTCAACCCGCCAAGGCTCTGCCTTGCTGCAGGCCCCACAGTGTTGCCTTGCCTCCTTCGACCCACGGCTGGCTGGCTTCGCGGAGGACGCCTGGGGAGTTGGAACCCCAGATAGCCCAAAAGGAAGGGCCTTGTACTGAAAGTGTCCCTCTCCTACAGCAAAACACAGAAACATTCTGTGAGCTCGATGGATCGTTATGTGGAAATATGCACCTTGCAGATCCAGAGTAACCATCCATCCACTTCGTTCGAGAAATGGGAGGATGTTCTGCAGAGTCGTCATACGGAATTTCTTGTAAACTATGAACCAATTGAGGTTTCTTAGGTCCATAATGGGACAGAGGCCTCTGTCCCTCTTGAGGACCATAAAATAACGGGAATAAAACCCCTGGTAATGCTGGGATGTAGGGACCAGTTCTATAGCATCTTTTTGGAGAAGGTTTTGAATTTCTTCCAGGAGTGTGCTGGATGGTTGAGTGAGCACGAAGTTGGAGGCTGTCGGAGCTTGGATAAACTCGATTAGGTATCCCTTCTTGATCACAGAAAGAACTCGCCGATCCAAAGCTATCTGGTGCCAGGCAGGGAGGTAAGGGGACAGGTGGGTGGGAGGCATGTGTAGATGACCGGAGTCAAAGGCTCTGTTTAGAGACCTTAGGGGCCTTAGCCCTAGACTGAGCGGGCGATGAAAACTTAGGTTTGTTTCCATAAGGATGTGAAGAGACATCTGGAGATCTCTGCCACTGTGTCTCTGGGGAAGACTTGAGTGAGGATCTGTGGGACCAGGATTTGATCCAGGATTTTGCCCTGGTGTGTTTAGGGGCTGGAGAGACTCCTAAATTACGTGACATTTTGATACTCTTGTTGAGGTCTTGCAAGACGGTATCCATCATGGAGCTGAAAAGACCTTCACCCTCAAACGGAAGGTCCTCAACAAAGGATTTGGTATCCTGCTGCAGAGCTGTGGAGCATAACCAAGCATGGCTCCTAAGGGTGACTGCTGAGGTGAGAGTGTTGGCTGCCACATCCAGGGTGTGTTTAGGAGCATAAAGCTGGTGCTTAGCAAAAAGCATGCCTTCTTTTTGAATTCGCCTAGCTTGGCGATTAAGGTCCTCAGGGAGGGTTGCAATAAATTCAGACAACTGCTCCCAAAGAGCATATTGATATCTCCCCATACATGCAGTATAGTTGGAGGTTTTGATGCCCAATGCTCCAGCAGAATAGAACTTCCTGCCGAAGGAGTCTAATTTTCTTCCTTCCTTGTCAGGGGAAACAAAATGACTAAGTTTGCCCTTTGAGGAGGAGGAGACAACCACCGAGTTTGGTTTAGGGTGAATGAACAAAAACTCAGCACCCGTTTCCTGCACCTGATACATGTGATCCATCCTCCAGCTGGAGATGGGGATGGAAGCCGGATGGGACCAGGGAGCTTTAGTAGTTTGAAGCAGGACCGAAGTCATGGGCAACATGATGGCTGTGGAAGTGTCCATCTGGACAATATCGAATACTGAGTCTGTAACTGTAGATGGGGGTTGAACAGTCAACAGGGTCAGTGTGTTAGCCATTTGCTTAACAAAATCCCCATAAGACTTAAGGTCCTCAGAGGGGAATATCGGGAGATCCTCCCCTACTTGTTGCAGTGGAGAGGGTTCCACTGGGGGGTCTGGGTTCTCATCTCTGGAGTAAGATGAAGAATCTGAGGTGATGGAATGATCTGAAGGCTTCGAAAATGACATTTGGAGGATTGGCGTTGAGGGCATCAGCTCCGATGGCTCTTTAAACCACAATGGTGCTGGCAGCGGCTTATGAATCTTGCCCATCGGTTGTGATGGTTGTGGTTTGACAAACTCCGGTGTCAGGGAGGATCTCGATACCGGGAGAGTCGGGATGAAGTAGATTAACGATCCCACTCCATCGGTGCGCGTGGGGGGAGCCACGGCATGCCACTAGGAAAGGGGTAGACCTCATACATATACCGCCACTGGCGTTGATCCCAGGAAGGCGGAGGGGGGTGGAACGGTCCCATTGGTCGATCTCGATCGTCGGATCGATGCAGGGAAGGATGCACGAAGGTGCTCGCTCCTCGATCCGAGTGAAGGCTCTTGACACTGGAGGATCAGGAGACTTGTGTTAAGTCCATATCCTGCTCCGAGTCCGTAAGCTGGATAGGATGCAGCGAAGGTGAAGGTGGTGCACCTTGTAGCTGCCCACGGCCAGAGGAGACAAGCAAAGCAGCCCCAACAGGAATTGCGCCTGCGGTCCAGCATGGGGTCGATGGAGCCTTAGGTCGATGGAGCCTTAGCAGGGGAGCTTTTCTTGTGCTTGACAGGCTGGTTGTCCTTGCCCTCCCTATGTTTCTTAGTGGGAGTGTGGGCTTTGGACTGGGATGTTGGAACCGAGCGTTTCAGCACCGATCGATCGATGTCGGAATGGGCCGGTGTCGGAGACATCGCGGCTGTTGACCCTGGTGCAGGTGTCGACATCGAGGCATGCCCTGAAGTGTCCTGTGACGACGTCATCGGTGAGAGTGCCAACTCCAGCAATGCAACACGAAGTCTGGCGGCTCTATTCTTTCTTGTCTGCTTTGAGAAATTGGTGCAATGGGCACAAGAGTCTATTTGGTGTGATTCCCCGAGGCACAGGAGAGCAAAGGGAGTGTCCGTCAGGGGGAGTGATTTTGCTACTGCACTTCAAGCACCGTTTGAAGAAGTCCCACTGTTTGGTCATAGGCTGGTGGGCAGAGGTAGTCTGCCGAAGCAGAACCAACAACAAGAAGAGTCCAATTCGCTAACACTATTTTCAATTTTACTAACTAGGAATCCGTCGAGAGAAGAAAAGACCCAAAGGCCAGAGAGAAAAGTTACCGACCGAAGCGGAGAAGATCCTACCAGTGCAGCAGTCAGAAGAGAACTGGCGGGATTGTCATGCCCCTCCCTTAGTTGTGTGCAGTGGAGCCGGGCACGCGACTGGGGAGAGGGCGTGAAAATCTCATTTGCTTTCTATGTTACCGATCGGAGTCGGCGCAGGCACACTATATCCCAGAGGTGTGATGCACAGAGAGCATGAAGAAGATCCCCCCATTCTTTGAAAACTGGAGCCAGGTAGCAGTCTGATACAGACCACTCTTACTCTGTGTTTGTGTCCCTGCTTGGGCTGTCTGCTAAGGTGTTGTCTAGATCGGCTATGTGAATGGCTGTCAACTAGACCCTGTGTCTTATTGTCCATTGCTAGATTAGTGTGGCATCTCTGCATGAGTGGAGTGATCCCGTGCCTCCCTGTTTGTTCAGGTGATATCATCCATTGCTACCAGAACATGTCATCTTCTGGCAATCTCTGCAAAAGAAGTGAGAGCAAGTTGGATGGCCCTCAAATCTAATAAATTAATGTGAGGGTTGGACTCTTTTTGAGTCCATGCACCCTTCACTTTTAGTCCCTGACAATGAGCACCACACTCCATGAGGGAAGTATCTGTAA